GAGCTGCTCTAATTAATGCAAAACACTCTAGATATTACTTAATAAATACTAAGCTTCTTCTAAGTGGCACAAAATTAAAATCCTTTGCTGTCTCTATATGCTATCACGTGCTGGAATTACCAATATGTTGTATTTCATGAAGAAGAGAGAAATCTGTAGCAAAAGCAGAGTTTGAAAACAATTATTTCTGCTAACCAACAACTCTTGCGGTACTGTATACTTAGTAAACCCAGTTAACAGGGAACGCTCATGGAGAGAAATTAACTGAGTAAATAAAAATATACAGGCTGCAAAGCATGAATTAGAATCACAATGTCTGCAAACAACAGATACTTAAAGAATGTGTTTTATCTCTGAGCTTAATCTGCTCTAATTAATGCTCCAAGAGTTTGTTCCTTCAAAAGACTGCAACTGATTTGACATCAGTTATTTGCAGACACAGGCAAAAGGAGGCTGCCTCCAAAGAACGCTTTGTCCAAATATTCTTGAAGATGTTCTAGAAGGACAATCTTCCAGGGAAGATTTTAGTTAGCCAACGACAATTTTTCATAGTTAATCTCTGATTAGTTTATTAGTTCCAGTGAGTTTGATAGCCTATGGCTATATGCAACCAACTATGTTTTCAACATCTTTTTTTTTTTTTTAAATATATCTGGAGGTCTGAGCTACTTCCCCTTCAAAGTCCTATTCCCAGCTCCAGGCACAATCCCAAGAATTAAATGAAGAATAGCGTCGAATATGATCTTATAATTCTTAAAGCTAACTGAAAAATGTTAAAGGTACCTGGAAATAATACCAGACAAAATTTTAAAACACAATAGAAAACCCTCCAAATATATTCTCCTTTAGATCAGATCTCAATTTGATTTCAAGTTTGAGAAAAATTGGTTTATTCGTCTGCAATCACATCTTGAAAGCTGATAAGTCTACTTTAGTTTTTCTTACACTGTCTCTAGAAATACCTCTAATAGTCACTGTAACCTTTCTACAATGTTGGCCAATAAAAGTCTACAAAGTTTACCAAAACAAAAACATCAAGCATTGAAGGCAAAAGATAAAAGTTTCCGAAAATTGAGCAAGATTATCTCAATTACCCTGATACATGTGGCTTGTTTTCCCCACTCCGGGCATGAAAAATGAAAATGTAAGAGAATTCTGACTTGGAAATTCTAACCAAAGAGTATCCTCTCTCCTGATTTTAACATAACCTGTTTAACTATCACAGTGCTCAGATAGGGTAGCTAGCAGAAAGTAGTGTGTGTGTGTGTGTGTGCGCGCGCGTGCGTGTGCAAGAGAGATAAGAGAAGACAAGAGACTAAGAGAGATAGAACAGGTGAGGTTGCAAGCTCAGCTATCTAGCCTGTTATGACACCAAAGACCAGATATATTAGTTGAAAGAAGAAAATTTGATGACCCGGATGTGATTCTGGTTTTTGAAAACAAGCGGTTTATGCGATCCAAGCCTAGCAAAGAGGTAGATTTAGAAATGTGTATGATATAATGATGTTTATATTGACATAGGTAAAGATTTGTCTACCTAGAACATAAAGTATATATAAAAAAAGATATGTTTAAATTAAACTTATTATCTCAGACCTGACTGTTGATCACCAAGAGTTCCTTGAGAATCCCAAGTCCCACATTGCCTGCCCCCACTCACTTTCTTCCCCTCCCCCATTTTTTCAGAAGCCAGAGGATGCCTGCTGCATCTTGCACTGTAGTGCAAACAGATTCCCCCAAAGAGAGAGGAAGATAAAATGAATTTAAATTCCAAAGGGGTTCCAGTGCCGGTTTCCTAGTCCCCGAGTCAGCAATGTGTTTGTGAAAATTCAGCCTTTTTGTCTCCCAGTAAAAAGAAGCTAAATCTACATCGGTGGCCCAGTCTCGGATTGCTATTCTTTGCATTTTCTATTCGAGTGAATGAGAGTGAATGAAGTGGCCGGGACCCTTCATTTGATCTACTCAATTGCATAAAGTGACAGAATTCTAATATATTTGTTTAATGCTCTTCAATGGGCTTTCACCTTTTTTTGCTTGCAAATGAAGCATCCGTGGGCAAAGTTTCATCCCCCTTTAACACTGGGACATATTTCATAACTGAGGCCGTGGTTTGAAGTAATCTTGAGAGGAGTTTTAGACTCAAAAAGTGGAAAATAAAGAAACAGATGTGAAGTTATTGTAAATTCCTAGAGTGGGCTCTGGGGCTATTGTGCCTCCACGGCGGGCGGTCCAGGGGCTGTGCCTTTCATGCTGTAATTGAAACATATTAATTAGATAATTTGTTGTTAGTTTAAACGAAACAAATGCATCCCCTTTGAGGCTTCACAGCCGGTGGGTTGGGTGGTTTTTGTTTTGTTTTTGTTTGGGTGTCTCTGTGCATATGTGGCTTTTAGGAGAAAAAAATTAATTGACATTTATATTAAGAATTTAAGAATAGATCCTGATCCTTTCTGTTTCTTAGTTGAATACCTTTTACAAAGGGAATTTTCATTTGTAAAAGTATAAACCCACTCCTCACCCCTACACTCTGCAATCCCCCAGTGCCCCTAGTCTTGCATAAACGAATGTAAATCTTACTGTCTGCAGCACCGGCTTGGACTCTTCCTCCCTCCTACTTCCCACCTCATCCTTCTTGAGCACCTGGCCATATTTATGCTTGCAAGACCCTCAATGTTCTCATCTCTTTAAAGGAATTAAACTCACTGCTATAGTATTTAGGCCATTTTGATGATCATTTACTAGTGCTACTCCTCACTCAGGTTTTTCAAAACTCCCAAATCAGATAATAGAAACAGTGAGAATTTCTGTAGCTTCTCTCTTGAGAAAGTGCATGAAATTCATTCATTGTGTCAGCGCTTCCTCAAATCACAGAGAATCCTGTTTAAAAACTCAGTCAAATGCAGAATCATGTAAAAAACCAAAAGTAACAGAATAGCCAAGTTTCCAAATACAAAATCCGAAACTAAGAAATCAATACTGCTTGAATTTACAAAATAGAAAATATTATCACTTATCTCAGTTCTCAGGACAAACCCCACACAGACACCTTCCCACTCCATGGCGTTGTCTCTTCCAGTTTTATTTTAAAGCTGTGTGTATTGACTTTGGACTTGAGCCAGGTGAAAAGATTTAACATGACAAAGAGAGCCATTGAAGGTATCATAGTTATAAACTTCCTTATTTGTGGGGCACTTCAGCTAAACAGGGCATAAGTCTCAAAGCTGGGGGGGTGAGGCAGGGATGGAGTGGCGTGGAGGCATGTGTGTTTGGACTGCCTTTGGATTTCTGATCAAGGTCAAAATATCATCAATGGATTTTTTTTTTTACTTTACTCATTCAACTTTGTCAGAGAAAAGATGCCTGCATTTGTGAAAGGAGGGCTCACAATGCCCAAGTTATTTCATTCTTTGCAATACACCATGACGAACTTACCAGCTGAAAAGAGCATTTTCAAATACTGAGTTGAAATCTCTCCTTTGCTAAAAATCAGAAATAGATCTGTATCTTATTTACCTCTAGGTATTAAGTGTGTGTATGTACACATCACTTATCTCTGAATTCTAGTGCCTGTTATAAGAGGAACATTTATCTAAGCTGAAGATTTATAAACTGTTTGAGGCCCATGTTAGGCCTTTATACTTCCTTCATCCCCAGCTTGAATTCAGTGTTACCAAATTCGATGAGATTAGCGTATTCCAGAGATGGCCTTAATTTTCTTTTGCAGGCAACTGAAAACATATTTAATTTTTTTTTTTTAAAGTATATGATTTCTTGTTGAGAACAAAGTTTTTAAGAGTTTCCTAGCCTGGGGTGGTTAAGTTTTCCAGGCTTTCTTTAGCTGATCTTGTTGATATAATTGTGAATTGGGCTTGATGAATGAGTTTAGTTGTCCCCTGTTTGACGAGCTTTAGTAGCTTCATGCATTTTAATCAGTCCAATGATTCATTTATTTTCCACCTTTTTTTTTTTGGCTGTGTGTGGGATCCTTCTTTTTAAAAAATGGTTGGAACAGGATTAATTACCTTTTGCATTAATCCTAAGTTGTTTCTCAGGTAGTCCTCTAAATATATAATGGTTGCAGGTGCTAAGGATCCTCCTATGAAGTACAGTGATTGTGGTTTCTATGTGGGTTTCTCTGTGTTGCACAAGGGTCTCTTGTTTAATCATTTTACACAGTAAAGTGTTAATCACCATTTAAGTTTCTCTTTGCCTTGTAAGTTCATTAGGTGAATACACATCTCATTCCAGAAATATTGTGACCCTTTCAATAAAGTGTCATTTAGCCTTGAGCCATAAATTCTTGGCAAATGTTAATTCTCTGCAAAAATATGAAGAAAAGCAAATGCTTCAAATCAGGCGTTTGAAGTAAATTCATTCATGTCTTTAAAATAAGTGCATCAAGCATTATTTTCTCAGAGGAAGGAGTGAAAGAAATCCGTTCAGTTCAAAGTGAACAGGTATCTTGACATGAAGGTGAACCTTTAGGTAATTTCTATTTAAAAAATTTTAACAACTGCAATAATTTAAAGGAGCAAGGAACTGAATACTCACACTAAATAAGATGCATCAGAATATAAGCATTGAGTAAGCAAGTCTGTTTTTACTTTTTAAGTCTCCATATTTTCTACCTGATTTCTACATAAGCGTTATAAGTGCTATATTTCATAAAATGTATATTTTACTATAGACAAAATACATATAAAGTACTTATTGTTTCAAAAACAGGTTTTCTTTCAACACTGCACCTGTGCACCTGATCTGTAATAGAAATAGTCTGTTTCCTTTTTCCCTATACACAAATACCTTCAAAATTCTGTCTGAATAATTTCTCCCACAATCTGCAAGTGCATAAAAGGTTTGGCTGTTTTCACAATATGATATGAAAAAGGCAAATTACTCGGTGTATTGCAGAAAGCATGCTTAGGGGAGCATTACATCTATCTTTTGCAAAATTATTATTTGTAGCAACTCTTCAAAAACACACAAAACTAAAATTTGAATTTACATATTTTAATGAGAAAATATTATTTGGACTAGGTCATAATTTAATGTAGACGCCCCCCCCCTTTTTTTAATCCTTTGTTTTAAAACAGGCATGCTGGGAACAAGAACATCAATATTTAAAATGCCATGCTAATTCTGTACAGGGAGGGAAAAATGATAGGTAAAAATTTTACAGCTCTGATGACACTACAACTTTTTTTTTTTTAACTTAAGCAGGTCACACCAGAACAACAGTTCGTTTTCCAGCCAATTATCTAAGAGTCTAAAGGAATACGACAAACAAAAGTGCATTTTACACAGTGTATAATCATTCCTATTCACAAGTATTTACATCTCTTTGCAGCCCTTTAGCTTCTTGGAAAAGTTCTGGTAGCAAACAGAAAGACTTGTCCGTGGGAGAGCTATCCGGTGACATCCCTTCATGTTATCAGTCAGCTTATCTAAGTTCTTCCCGGGTTGCCCTTGATGCTTTCTTGGTTTGGGCTTATTTCATTTTCTTTCTTTCTTTTTTTCCAACAATAAAATAAATAGCTAAAAAGGTCTCTAAGTAATCGGAAAGTTAACATCCCAATTAACTTTCCCATCCCCACTTCCCTCCCCTAAACCTGGCCAGAAATGAAGAGTAAACATTCACATTACAACAGGTACTTATAATGTGGGCTTTGCCCATTCGTCCGCCTAGCAAGGCAGATTCAAGGTCATTGTTTACATATTACTGGGCGCTTTGTAAACAATACAAGGTTACTTTTAGTTTTGTTTTGCTGTGTGAGGACAAGCGTTGCCTTCTCAGCTTGGCAGCCTCTTTCCTAACTCCCAGCGCCTGGAGCCTCTGGAAGGAAACAAAACCCCAAACAACAACAACAAAATCTCCGCAGAAGCCCAGGAGGCCGGGCCGCAACCCCGGGAAGTTGTGGTCTGCCCAGCCCCTGCCGGATGGGCGGAGGCGAGTGGGGTAGGAAGATTAGTGGCTCCTTTTTGCTGCAGATTTCCAAGACGTAAAGAGATCCGGCCCTCCCCTGCGCGGTTGCAGCCCTCGCGGGGAGGGGGTGTGGGGGGGATCTGTTCCTGGAAACATCTGAGGCAGTTTCTCTAGTCTCGAAACTGCGCAGAGTTCGGGGCTCCGCCGATCTGGGCGGAGGGAAGACGCGCTTTTCTCGGCGAAGAGAGGGTGACAGGATTTCCCCCGCCAGTCAAATGGGAGGGGGTTTCGGGGCCTCAGGGAGGGGATGGCTCGGCTCAGGTGGCCCCGGCCTTCCCTGACGTGGGGACTAGGACAACTCCTACGCGCCTCCCGGCCCATTTGCAAGTTTGTGTTTTGTCTCCTGGGTCCAAAACAAAGTTCTCTTGGGGCAAGACGGGTTGGCCGAAGGCGAAAGGGATAAGTTAGGGTGGCGGTTCCAGGTTGCGGCGGGCAGGGCTGGGAGCCAGGGAAGGCGAGTGAGGTGGTGGGGAGGAGAACGAGAGGGGGCGTCGGCTCCTGCGGGTCAGTGCACAGCCACCGAGTGCAAGGCGGAGGCCGGGCTGGTGAGCGTTTCGCTGGGGGTGGCGGGGCTGCTTTGGCTGGTGGCTGTTTGGGAGGACGTTGGGCTGAGCGAGGGCGGCGAGTTCGAGAGCAAGGTGGGGATGGGCGCTGGCAGCGCAGGGAGCGCGGGCACGGCGGCCGGCGTGGGCTTAATGGGCACGGGGATGGCGGGCAGCGTCTGGCCCGCCGCGTGGCACAGCGGCTTCAACGGCACGCCGTAGGCGCTGTAGTCGCCACTCGCCATGGAGATGGGGGTGGCCGAGTCGATCATGCCGGCGGAGCCATACACGTGTGGCCAGCCGGTGCCCAGAGAGCTGCCCATGGTAGTCAACTGGTTGGGGAGCGGGTAGGCAGCGGGCACCGGCTGCATGGCGGAGAAGGCCAGTCCCCCAGGCATCTTGTATTCCCGCGCGATGATGTTCTCGATGGCGAAGGGGTGCTTGAAGCCCGAGGGCTGCGCCACGCCGCCCAAGTTGTAGGCGGCAGCGGGCATCTGTGGCAGGTGCGTGCCCGAGGCCGCCAGCGCGCTGAGCCGCAGCTTGGCCTGCTGCTGCAGGTACTGCGCCGCGTCGGCTGGCTTGCTGGGCGCCAGGTGGTCGGACTTAAGCACCTTGAAGCGCTTGCGGCGCCTCAGGAAGCTGCCGTTCTCGAACATGTCCCCGCAGCTGGGGTGCAGCGCCCAGAAGCTGCCCTTGCCTGGCTGGTCTGGCCGCCGCGGGATCTTGATGAAGCAGTCGTTGAAGGAGAGGTTGTGGCGCAGGCTGTTCTGCCAGCGCTGCGTGTTCTCCCTGTAGTAGGGGAAGCGGTCCATGATGAACTTGTAGATCTCGCTCAGCGGCAGCATCTTCTCGGGAGAGCTCTGGATGGCCATAGCGGTCAGCGAGATGTACGAGTAGGGCGGCTTCTGGTCGCTGTACGTGTTACGGCCGGGCCGAGGCATCTTCTTCCTCGCCCTCTTCTTGCTCTGGATCCGCGCGGGCCGGCGGACTACTCGGATCTGGGAAGGGGGAGGTAATAAGAGGAGGTAGCATGGGTGCACAGAGACACCGGCGGGGTCAGCCAGGCCGAGTAACAGACTTCGGGGGTCGGGGGTGGGGGCTGCGGCGCTCGATCAGCCGGCGCCCGCGCTCTTGAGCCAGCAACTTTGCGGGCTTAGTGGGACCCAGCCAGGGGGCGCAGGAGGGGAAGCGGCCGAACGGCGCTAGGATAGCCGGGAAGTCAGTCCGGCCTGGGGCAAGAACCGGGTGCAGGGACGGAACAGAGAGCTGCTCACCTTAAAGTTGCTTCAAGTTGCGCGTCCGCATCCGGGAGGGCGCGCTCTCCGCGCGCAGCGTCCGTGTCCGGTTGGACTCGGCGCGAACCTGGGCTCTTGAGCTCAGCCCCGCAGCGTCCCGCGCCGCCCGGTCCGCGACGCTCCTGGAGCGTCCTGCGGGCGGCCGAGCTCGGCTGAGGACTCTCGGCGCGGATGGTGGCAGCGAAGGTCTTAGGGCTCCGGAGGGCGCTACTGTGGGCTCCGTGTCTCGGCTGAGCTAGGTGGCTGCCTCCATGCCCTCCCTCGAACCATCTGATAGTTTTAAGCGGTGACAGGAGCAGAAAAGACCCCTGTAGCGGCGCTTCATTAATGTGCCACTTCTTAGCTATCATATGACAATCGCCTTGGGAGGAGGAGGAAGAGGAGGGGGAGCGGGGGCTGCAGAGGGAGGGGACTGAGCGAGAAGGGAGAGCCCGGCCAGCTCTGGTTTCTTTCACACCTATTTACATGGACACCTTGGCCAATAGGAATTACTTCCAGCTCAAGACTGGGCGAGGGGCAAGAGCCTCGCCACTGGCAGCAAGCAGGACGCGCCGGCCGGTGTGCGCCGTGTGAAGGTATGAGGAGGCGGCCGCCGCGGAGCAGGGAGCCAGGCGACCACTCACATTCACAGATGGAGCAGCCGCGCAGATGATGTTTGACATGGAAATTGCTTGGCTGGGGTATTCTGTTTCCTCTGCGTTGTATCCGGTTTGTATCTGTTAGGTAACTTTAGGCACGGCTTTCCCCTGAAACCGACCCTTTTCCTGCGCTTAGCACTACCCGGGGTTGTTTGCATGGGTTGTAATAATGAAAACACACCCTTGCCCCCTAGTACCCCAGGAGTTAGGTCGAAGTTTGACTTCACCTTCCTATGAAGCTGCTTCAGCTCTGTTTAGTTAGGTGTGTAGCTTTGAAAAAGCGATGGAATTTACAAAATACTTTCAAAATGTGATTGGACATCCCCATGTAAGAGCCCATTTTGGATGTAACTGTATCGATCAAATTTTTAAAAATTAAAATAGTGTATGTGGGCGAAAAGTCCAGGTATTTGCTTTGAAAGTCCTTCCAGGAATTTGGTTGGACACAGGACGGAGGCTCAGGGGCTGTTGGGGCAAATGTTGTGCGTACCTGGGGAGGGCCTGAGTTTGATACAGTTTATCACCAGGTAAGCCTCAGGGGCTCTCGCTTTTCCCAGGTGGTTTGAAACTTTAGAACTCAGGCATATCCTGGAAGTTTTCATTTTACAGCCGGAACTCCCCTCCCCAACCCTCCCACCCCTCTCACTCCCCAACCCCCGCTTTTTTTTTGTATGGAGAACTTACTTAGGATTTAGAGTGTAGCAAAAGCTGCCTGCGATCCCACTAAAACAGCAGTATCTTCTACAACTTGGAGAAAGAACCATAGATTTTTCCTTTTTGGGAAGGGGGCAATGTGCCTCGGGTCACTCCGCCTGGTGCGAGCAGCAGGCTCCCTTCGGCTCAGATTCGCCTTGGGAGGGTTAAATGAATCATTATTATTGTCATTATCCTCATCGTCGTCGCTGCCGTCGTCATCATCATCATCATCAAATTACTATGAAGTAAATAGTGAGTCGACCCCGCCTGCATGCACGCACTCTATGAGTACACACCAGGAGTTCCCACCGGTTTCTGCACGTTCTCCGACCTTTAAGGTTTTTTTAAAGACATTCATTTTACTGGGTTGTTAAAAACTCAATACCTACAGACCACACAGAATCATCTTCAAAGTCCAGAAATGTGAGAACTTTTTTTTCCTAGAAGTGGTGGTCGTAGAGAATTCTGGGTGTTAAGTTTCAACACTTTAAGTGATATTAGAGCATTATTAGTGGAGCTGTTTTGGGTTAGCATAAAAAAGATCTTTCAGCGCGCGCATGCACACACACACACACACACACACAACTTCATTAAGTATAGTTTCGGAGGCGGTCAATAACTCACCAAAACGTAACTTAAACACGATGAATTTAGGAGATTAAACAATTTCATTAATATTGAAATGGCTCTGGCTCTGGGCTGCCTCGCTTGAGATGCAAGCGCACGTTTTTCAATATTAACAGAAGTGCTTGAAGAAAAGAATAATGTCACCTTCTTAATTCGGAAAAAATAACCGGGAGGAGGAGATGGGTGCGAGGGGCTTGGGGGAGGAATGTTGACCTGTCTCTGGGGGTATGACTCGAGAAGGGCAGATAAATGTATCGCCCTTCTCAGCAGATAAACCACTTGGACTCGGGTGGAACCTCCGCCAAGCTTTGGCCGGAGGCAGCCGTACTCGTCCCAGCTGCTCGCGCTTCAGGTCATAACGAGGTGCGGCGTTTGGGGGGTTACTTGGTTCGGCCAGATTGGAATCGAAGGTCCGGGGGAGGAAGGAGCTGGGAAGTCCAAAGAGCCTGGGAGCCTGGGGGATCCGTGAGGAGGAATAGTGGGCAAGGCTTGTGTTTCCCAGAATGGAAAGGCGCTGGTCCACGGCTTTCCTGCTCGCGAGTACGGCTGGCCTCAGTACAAAACAGTTACTGTGGGCAAGGCAGGAGCGCTTCTGCGGTGGAAGGGTACCAGTGTAGACACCCCCAAGAATTTTTAGGATCCTGTCAGTAAATATGTGCATCTGTTCATACTGATATGTAGACTGACAAAATATCATGAGCGGCTGGATTCGGGATGTAGACAGGAGTGAAAGCTCTCCTCGGTTCGCCCAGTGACAGCCAGAAGATTCCTTTCTATCCGGCATGGGTGCGTGTTGAGGGTGGGGAATAAGGAGAGAGAAGTGTTTTATTTTTAACAATTGGCATTTTGTTGCCCTGCAAAGAGGCCATTGTATGCCTGTCGAAATCATTGCTCAGAGTAAACAGGAGATTAACTAAATTCTAAGAGTAAAAACGTTCGGGTTAAAAAAAAAAAAAAAAAAGACCGAAGTTGGAATAAATCTTTGTCTATCTCCCCGGGAAAGTTGTCACCCCCAAGTTTGGAACATGCGAGGATACAAGTAGGAATTTGTGTCTGATGAATCTTTAAAGTTTGGCTAGTGTGGAGATAGGAGTTTGACGCACATTGCACACGACCAGGGTTACTTAAGTAAACCGAGCCTAATAGCACAAGTTTGCCTTGGATGAGGAGAGAAGTTGTGAGATACACATTTAAAACTTGGGCTTTGCTACAAAGTTTTATCTTGGTTCTGCTGGAGGTCTACAAAGCCCAGGGCGGGGAGGGAGGATTTGCATGTTATTGACAGCATTTTAAGACTGGTATTATGAAAAGGAGGAGGGAAGGAGCACTTTCCAGAAATCTTGAAAAGTGCATCAGAGTCTATTGTGCAGAACCCAAAGCAAACAGGGGGTGGGGGTTGGGGGGAGGCACATCCGACCCGGAGGCTTAGCGAGTTGTTGGGAAAACTGTATAAAATACACATAAGTCAATTATACCCATGTGCAAACCAAATGGAAATCTCTTTCGTGCAATAGCCATTCATCGCCTCCGCAGAGCCCACCACCGACCACCTTTCTGCTTGGAGAGTTCGCAATAGCTGCTTTTCCCACAAGCTGGACCACACACGGCTACAGATTTCGTAATAATTTATGCTAATTTCCCTCCATAAATCCACAATTCGCTTCAGTGGCACCCGGGTTGCTGAGGGAGTAAAAAGGAGACAGAGGGGTGACAAATACAATATTGATTTTGATTCCTTCTGTTGTCAAGCAGGTGTGTGTGTGCGTGAAGGGTGGGGCTGCAGCTTGGGGGGCGGGGGCTCCAGGAGAGGAAATCTGTCCCTAGTCCCCGCCAGCCCCTCCATGCACACTCCAGAAAATAACGCGCCCTGGTTTGTTAATATTTACCAAACATAGACGGGAGGCGGAGGGAAAGTACCCGGCAGCTTCCGAAGGTTTCCTAGGTGCCAAAAACAATACCCGTCGTCCCCACTTGGAAAATGAACTCTGCGCTGCCTGGAGCATTTCGGCTAAGCCTTCCTTTGCGCGGTCCTCTTCTTTCTCCCTGAGTCTCCCTGAACTCCTTTACGTTTCCTCAATCTGAGTCTCTCCCTCCCTCTCCTTCTTTCCCCTCTCCTACAGCACTCCGGTCCTTCACTCCTCTTCGCTACACTTTTCTTCTCTCCCTTCTCCTTTTTGCATCTTCTTTACCAAATTGACAGTGAAATGTGCTGAGGGAGAGGGTCGAAGGCTGGTGCGCCGTCGATTTCAGGTTTTAGGGCCTTGAGAGTCTCCCCTGCCCCGCCCCACTTCTCCAGGCCGCCTCCCGAATTTGCCCCAGTGCTGCGCTCCCTCTGGGAACCCGCGCTAACGCATCGCGCCTCTTTGTCCCATCAGTCATTCTTCAAATCTGCACTTTGGTGGCGTGAAACGACTTAGCCTCCCTTTTAAAAGGATTTCATTCCCGGGGTATTCAGCACTAAAACAAACTCGCTCAGCCTGTCAGTGGTCAATTTAAAAAAATTGCCATCCTGAGTGTCCTGGGGGCTGTTTGTCCTCGGTATCTGTGCGCCTCCCTCGCCAACCCCCCCAACACCGCAAGGCCTGGCTTTAACTTGCTGGATTTTGGGACCAGAGGGAACTAGCTCAGAAAGTTCTCCTCTCCCGGGTTCACCGGACAACATCGACTTGCAGGTTCGGGTTGGGGGCGGGGGTGGGGGGGCAGAGACGAGCACGCGGCGCGTGTCAGGGGAAACCTATCCGCTACGACTCTCCCACGACTGCCCCGGGAGTTTGAGCCCGCTCTTTCAGGCCACTCCGACTGAGTCTGGCGGGAAATCAAACTGCCCAAAGGAAAGAGGCGGGGGAGGGGACACACTTTCCGCTCTGGTGCCAACTGCGGACGGGCAGTGAAAGGACTCCGTACCCACCCACACTCCCTATCCTTGCCAGCGACCCCTGCACTGTGCTGCCGCAGGAGCATACTTTTTCCAAGTAGTGGGGAAGAATATCTGCCGGGGAACTTTGCAGCCAGCTATTTCATCCGTTGGTGATTGGGCTACAGGGGGTTTGGACCTTAACTCATCATAGAGAGGAAAAAAACAAAACAAAACAAAAAAACCTTTGACAAGTAGTATATTGGCCATAATTAGATCTCCCCTCCGGGCCCAATCTTGCGGGGTTCTAAGACAAGAGTCTCCACCTCCTGTTCACCCTTTACTCCTATTCAAACTGGGAGGCTCAACTTCAAGGGTGTCAATTTTTAGCCGCCACCAGAATAACTTGTCCAGCGGTGAATAGGGCCTCTGGCTGTGGCTGGGGCACCTAGAGTTAAATCTGTGCGTCACTTAGGAGTGAGGTAAAGGGAGAGGCAACACCCCACACATTTTAATAGTATATCCCAAGCAACTGCTGCAGTTTGGAGAGCATGGAAGGCCCAGTTTCCCCTCCACCTCAAGCATAAAATAAAGAGTAGCCAGAATTAGGTGCTGGTGCAGCTTGATCCCCACCCCCAAGAGGTGCCACCCGCTCTCCTCCTCCCCCTCCCCCATCATAGTGAGCAAGCAATTTCAATGCCTGCCTGTGAAAACAACTCTCTCCCTGCCCAGCCCAATGCCCTCTCTTTGGAATTGCTTTGCTAAATACCATTTGATGTTTGCTTGGCTGTGATTTGTTCTGAGACTTCAAGGCTTTAAAATCTTTGTTTCCAAATCAAATCCCTCCTTTGCACAAACAGTTGCATAGCTTTAAATTGGGCACTACCATGCACACAAGTGTATTTGTCTAAAAAGTTATTTGCAAAAGGTTGGTGGAAGGCTTTTTGTGTTGTTGCTAAACCCTCCCCATAAGTTTTGCTCTGTACTGTGTGAAACAGAAGAAGCAATTCAAATCTATTATTATTATTGGAGGAAATATTGCTAAAGCCACCTTGGTATTGAAGGGATTAACTTGCTTTTCTCCCAGCCCCTAACTCTGGGGTTAAGACAGCAGTAGATCAACTGTATAATGTGTGCACTGTTCGCTCATTTGTACAAGCAGAACAAAGGTTGGACTAAGCCAAATTGCATTGCACTTGTGAACCGAGTCCCGATGTGAAGTATCTTTTACAGCAGGGGGAATGAGAACAATTTCGTGTATGTCTAAAAGGGAATAACAAAGCCACTTTCTGGAGCATCTCAAAGTGAAGTAGCGAGGCGTGACATTCCCAGGGTGAGAAGGGACAAAAGCAGGGTCAGGGAGATGAAAAAGAGAATCAAACAGCCACTTTCACATGTCTGCCCTCAACTGCTGCACCTCTCCATAATAGGAAACAAATGTTGTAAAAGGGGGGGATTGCTCCCATTCATTCAAAATAGCAAATGATAGCTAAACAACATTGTCAAAACTGAATCAACTTCTGTGCAGTACCACCCAGAGAAAGGTATTGTGTTTTGTTTAATAGCGGGGTGGAGCAAAGGGTGTTTTTTTTTTTTTTTTTTAAAGTGGGGAGGGAGAGAAAAATCATCCTATACTGTTCATATTAATTTTCTTTGTCAAAAATTATTGGTTTGCTCCTTTTTTTAAAAAAAAAAATTGTATTTCTGGCTGGGCACCCACTCTTAAAATGTTAGTTTTGGGGGAGGAATTTTGGAAGAGCTGCAACAGGAAAGTGATTTTTAGCTTTATAAAATGTTTTAAAGCTTCCAATAAGTGGGAAAACGGTTTTAAGCTCCTTTGAATGTACGATTTGGGAAAAATAAGTTACTGATTGAATAGAATATTAACGTAAATCCTGGACAGTAGGCTAAAATGTGCTTTGCTAATAAATTGGAATAAAATCGATTGGGGGGCAACTGCAGATATGTGAAATGAAGAATATTCGGCATCTATAATATATATATTTTTGGTGGATCCCTCTGCTTTAATTTGTTTTGAAACCGGACAACCTATAGATCTTCAGCCTTTAAACCCTGCGCTTCTGCTTTGTTTGTTCAGGCTGACCAGGGAGGAGAGCTTAACCAGGGTAAACGTGTGTAGTATGTGTTTTCTTAATGGCAGAAGCAGGTTTAGCTGAAGACCACAACAGCTTTCAGATGTAATAACTCGCTGTGTTCCTAGGAAGGTTAAAAACTATTTGTTGATCTCTCTCTGTCTCTCCCGCTCCCTCTCTCCCTTTCTCCTTCTCTCCCTCTCTCCCTCTTTCTCTCTGCTTTTTCTTTTCTTGTCTCCATGGGTCCCCCGCTGAGTTGCCACCCACAAAGCGGGTTTGAAAAAGAGAGAAAAGGAAGAAAGCGGCTGATCCGTACTGGCCTCCCCCAGCTAAGAATGGCTAGGGGGCGGGGCTTGGTGGGGCCTGCAGTGCTGCCAGGCGCTCGCCGCCCCGCCGCGGCAGTCCTTCCGCTCATTTCTGGCTCACCTGGGACTAGCGCGCCGCTTCGCGGGTTGGCGCACGGTGCCAAGCCCCTCGCGGTGCACCCTGGCCCTCGCGGCCTCTGCTTGGGGCGCTCTAGCAGCGCGGGGACTGTTGGCTGACTTCTGGTGGGTTGCAGTTAACTGACACAGCTTGTCAGCAGGGGAAAACCAGGTTGCCCCAAGGACTTACCGACGCCCCCAAAATAGATCCCTGCTTCCTGCGTTCCTTTCCCTCCCTCTCCCCCACTTTCTCCCTCCCTCTCCCCACCCCTTCTCATTGCCGCTAACCTTTCCCTCTCTACCCTCCTTCTCCCGCCCTTTTTCTCAGCCTACAGTTCCAATTCCAGCGCAGGTATGAACACCAGATTTTAGGTCTGCAAACTGACTCGAGGCATTCCCAGTAGCGCAAGCTTTCCAGGGTTGACAGGGCATTTTCTTCTGTGCTCAGCTGGCCTAACCAAAAGAAAGGAGGTAAAGAAGGGAGGAAAAGAAGGAAGCAGAAAACAGAGCCCCAGCATCGCCCCTGCAGCGCATCACTGGCACACCTCCGCGGCGTAGCGGTAGGCTACGCCAGGTGGTTGGCAAATGGGGTAAATCATTAACCCGACCTTCAGAGGATCGGCGCGGTTTTTCGAAAACGTTACCACTTAAGAGTTGTGGCTGACGTCGTTCACTGGCCCAACGCAGGAGACCCTAGTTGGCACCCGCCTCCTCATTTAGTTTTACTTAATATTTTTACTGGGAAAGAATCTTGTAAATATATTGACATACAATATTTATGTACTTAAAATAACCATTAAGTCTGCACTGCTACTTTTCTCTTAAAGTGTCACCTCATCTCATCATCTTTTGGATAAATCTAGAACCACGGAGGATTTAATTCCAAGAAGGCTGATCCAGCAAGTGATTTTCTTTGGAGTGGATAACCATTTGTTATAGCCATAGCGATTTGATTGGTGGAGCCGATGGCCTCCCTTAGCCAAGGTAGATTGGCTGTCTTTTCTTCCCGCGCAGGCAGTAAAGGAAACCTCGTCACTTACTTCACCCCTGAAAGCAGTTTGGGTTCACAGTCTTTAAGGAAAACTCCAGAATACCAGGAGTTTGGGGAGGACATTGATCTTTCCGTTCCGCCCATCCATTCCCTTTTTACCGATTTTTTTTAATTGCAAAGAAAAAAAAAGTTACACACAAACGGGGTAAAATATATGAACCAAACATAGTGAGACAGTTGCTTCTTTTTCTCCAGGTCTTTTATAGCTTCCCAAAAGGACAGAGGGAACTGTGGGCCTCATAGGTTTCCCAGATTTTCCGTAGTTGTTAGAAACTTAGGTTTTCCTTCGCGTCCGCTTCCCTGCGACCTGTTGATGACTCCGAGTGGCGGAGCGCGAAGCTCTGCGTTGAAGTTGGTTATGTAAACTGCTTGTGTATTTCACATTATCATCGCACTGTCTGGAGGCAATGTAGATTTTCTAAAGATCTAATGAATAAACAACCAGCAACTGCTGGCGGTGTAATTTACATTGTTAATGCCTACATGTGTATAATAAATATGCATTTGTATGCCTTCAAATAAACTCTTTTCAGTTTCTAACCTGTGGTGATTTTTCCCCCCAAAAAGAAGGGGGTGGGGGACTTGTGTTTCCAAGGGAGGAGAGTTTATTTCTCTTGCATTATCTGGTAAAAATGGCCGTGATGTGGAGCCCAGATGTAGGGTCTGCAGCCTTGCTGCTGTGCTTTCTACCTGCTGAGGTAAGCTCGGCTGGAATGCTCCTTGGCACGGTCACTGGACTGGCCAAGGAAGGGAGAATGTGCCCAGGAATTTAGCTGCGCAGTTTTGAGGACCGCAGCGCTTCCTGAGGGATGTGGGACCTGGATCCCGTCATTTTCAGGATCCAAGCATCCTCCCCGGAGCTGTCGATCTCCCCCAAAGAGAAGTGTGAGTGACTTCTCTCATGTCGCAAGCTGGGTTGGGAGAGTTGGGGCTGCTGTGGCGTCCACAAATCCTCGAAAAAGTTTCCCTAGGAATTTCCGGACCTATGATGTTTCCCCCAGTGCCTCTGTAGACATCACTTCAGACCAGCCCCGGGACCATGATCGGGACCAGGATCGCAGGGAGGAAAGAGAGGGCCCTGGGTCAGGGGCCAGGATCCTAGACTGTCCATCGGCCACTTCCTCCATTAGGACAACATCGCGCAGGGTAGCAGGAACACGGACGCACCTAAGAGCTATGGCCTCCCGAGCCGCCGTGTTTGGACCGAGCGTAGCCGCTGCTTTCTGAAGTTGAACGCCCTCCCTGAGCGTCCCACGCCACTTATTTCAGGCTGGGCGCCGACGTTTGATATCTCTCCCCTCCACCAACCAGGTGCCACTTTCTTAGCGCGCTCGAAGGCAAATGTCTCATCTTTCCCGTCCTGGATCTGGAATACATTATTTTAATTAAGTCTATGGCGATTTACTTTCCTCTGAGATCTATTCCACGGTGCAATTAGGAACGTATTGGTGCTAGCTCATATGAATATTCAGGAGCGTGTCAATTAATTAGCAGGCAGAAGAATCTCATTATGGTGCTCAAAACCCTTTTAGTGTTAAGCAGAATTAAGGGGGTATTTGGCAATGCGCTGGATTAGTGAATATTTTACTGTGCACTCATTTAACTTCATTATCATAGCACTTACACTACTCTCTGATTTTATTAATTAAATTGCTCATTAATTTGTCCAAAATGGATAAAAGTTTTAATGTGCCACCCAATAACTTGGAAAGTAGACTTTCGCCCTGCTTAGTCTTCGCCCCATGGAGGCTCGCGCAGCCCGAGATGGAGGCTCGCTTCCCCTCTTGCTCCACCCCTCAGCTTTGGGGAGCTCAGGGACTCGGGCTCCGGGCACTTGGGGATCAGCACGACGTCTGGAAGGAAGGGCCACTACCTCTGAGCAGCCTGTTCGCTTTCTGCCTCCTCCGACTGGCCTGGAAATCCGAGTCGTCCTTCAGGGCGCAAATAAATGAATAAATAAATAGTCACTGGCTCCCAGGAGTGAGGGCCACTGGGCGAGGAGCGATTTGTCTAGGGACCCGGGAAATGCCCCAGGGGTAACGATCAGCCAACCCGGGCGCCTCCGCCTCCCTGCCCTGAAGGCTCTCTGTTTCCCAAAGGCGAGCAAAATGCGCTACGTGGGGTCAGCAACAGTAACGCCCCCTAAGGGCCTGCTGAGCGCAGCGCCTACACTCCCTGCCACTTGGAGCCTCTGCGGGAACACCGCCCCACCACCTGGGCCACCCTCAGGCACCATCCACGCTCGCCCCCACGTGCTGCTCATACCCACCTGCACCTCCCTCACCCTACCCCAAAAGGTTAGAAAGACAAATATTAAAATTACTTGCACAAAGGGAACTGCTAAAGAGATCCCAAATTAATATGCATGTAAAATTAATTAGCTGCATTTCGTGACATCAAAATAAGTACCTGGGAAACAGAACACCTTCTGGGCATTGGGAACATATGCTGGAATTAGAGTTAATTGACTAATTACATAAATTAGGCATTAATTTTGCAACACATCAAGTATAAAAGATATCTCAATTAATTGTGCATAAATTACCAGGTGAAACGGGGCAGCGGTCCGGACAGGATCCCCGTTCTCAGACCTCTTTGCTCTTTAGGGCCCCAAAGCTAGGCGGTGTGGCTGGCTCACGGGTCGCGCAGGCCGGCCGGCGAAGAAAGACGGAGATCAGCACCCGCAGCCGCTGCCTGCGCAAGCTGAGGACCACGGGCAATCGTTAAAACGAAGAACCCCGCTCCCCCTCATTAAAATCAATTATGTGCAGTTAGATTGATTAGCTTTTGTCAGAAAGAGGAGAGAAGCAGACTCTTCACTGGTCCGCCTCCCCCTACCCCGCCAATCCACCTTAGCTGGTAACTGTAGAGATGGGGGGTCGTGGGGGAGGGGCCCCGCTGAGCGGGTCTCTCTGTCCTGGCCCTCCGTTCCTGTCGCGAAGGATGGCAAGGTTTCTGGATTAGGCGTTGGTTCTAGGCCGCTTAGGGTCCATGGGAACGCCGGTCTGGCGGTGCTGGGTGCTTGATATCTCTTGATGGTTTATAATCCTCTCGGGCTCCCCACCACTGATTCCTCACTCAGAAGTCCAACTTTGAGGGAGTGGTGCCAAATTATTTGAATCTCTTCGGTTTTGAAGTGGGTGTAAATTAATCCCGAGGAGATAAAATGTCTAAGTAAATAATCCATACATTGTCCCTGAGGACTGGTTTGTCAGAGTCCCCACTCAGCTCTCCTTCCCACATGATGTATATGATTTTTCTCCTTTCTTAGGGCTGGAAGAACAGAAATGGGATATAGTATGGATGTTCGGTTTAATTTTCTATGGCTCGCTTCTCCAAGGGGAGCTCCAGGGAACACACCTTAGTAATTCCCCTTCAACAAACCACCAAATGTAACATTTGTTTTGTCTTTATAACAGTTCTATTGTTGTCAAAATATTAATGACCTTGGCACTGACTTTCCCCTACGTTCTATACACATCTTAAATGGGAGGAAAATTCCCAAGGGAAAGCGGGTATTTGAACATTGGATAAAGTCGTGCCACTTTCAAGCCTTAGTGAAATAGCATTAAAACTTACTATGAATTCCTCACACAAATTACCACGAATTATAACAGTTTGGCTCTGTTGATCTCATGGAATGTAACTAATGAGGACGTTTGCTGTCCATAGTTGAAGACTTCTGAAGCTGTCTTCATGTGCTTGGTTGTTTGTAAAAATATCGCAAGTCACAGTCCCATCCCTCCCTGTCCGCTGCCCACCCCCCACCACCTCCTCAGCCTGGTCTTCCAAGAGTCCTTAGCTGAAATTTTCTTCTTCTTCTTCTTTTTTTGTTTGGTTTTTGTTTTTGTTTTTGCCAAAGCAAACAGAGAGAACGAAGGGATATCCTGAAAAACACTTTATCAACTGATGCTATGTATTCTCATCAAGGAGGCTTGGTGACATTTGTTACAATGTAATCCTGACTGCTGATGAAATCCTGAGTTTACTGAAACATTCATTTTGATGTAGAGGTTTCCTGCCGTAGCCAGATGCTGAAGGTACTTGAGGGAGCTGTTGACAAGTGGATAATTGTCAGCAGAACTAAAACAGACACTTTGTTTACAGTCGAGCATGATTAATTGAGAGTAAATAAAACAACAGCACCCTTTATGAAGTCACCATCCAAGTTCAAAAAAGGCTGTAGTTTCTAGGAATAAAAGAAGTGGACTTATTGTACAAAGGCTTGTTTTGCCAAACCCTTGAAGCAGCAGCTGGCAGCGGTGTGGATGAGAAGTAGATATGCTTTATTGCTTTCCAGCTGGTGTCTTTTTTTTTTTTTTTCCCCAAATCTATAGAGCTGGATTAAAAACATTTTTGTCCTAATTAACCGAGTTTTAAATTTCTTTTATTAGCTTACTCTTCCTCTTTCCCTTCATTCCCCTTTAAAAAGTAAATCATTTAATGTGAAATAATTTTCAAAATAAGCCAGATGTGATAAACCCAAACTGATGATGTCAAACAAAGCTATCGCATGCCATTGTGATACTTCGGTTTGCAGGAGAGCATTTCTATTCCCTGGAGCTCTAATGAATTGCAGAGGCCAGACTCCAGTAAACATCTTATGATTGTCCAACATAATAAATTTTAATGAAACAGGACATATATCTTTCAAGGCACAGTGTGGCTTGTGTACAAGAAGTGCTTTGTTTCGTTTTGTTTTTAGGCCTCTATCCTGCTAGACTAGAGGATGAACAGGCCAATATCTTTCTAACAAACTTTGCTAATCATGTTTGTGCAAATTAGAGCTGCAGACACATTGATCAATTGCTTTGGATGGATATCGTGGATGGATTGATTTATAGCAGCCTATAAATGAAAAGTCTGTATATTTTAATATAATGCCCCATAAAGCTAAAAGCAATAAGCCTAAGGTAGCTAGAAATACTTTTAGGTCACTAACAACTGAATTAAATTCAGTGCTGTTATACTATTGTATGGATGGATATAGAAACATAAGCCCGATGAATAAGATGCAAACCGAAACTTCTTTCGGCTGCTGGGAAGAGCTTTCTTTTGGGACTACTCGCAGTTAAGAACGGTCTCTAGGAGCTTCTAAGACAAAAACAGAGCAGAGTCTGTGGTAAAAGCAAAGTAGTCTGTGAAGGAGACCGAGAGAGAAAGAGAGAGAGAAGGGGTGGGGGAGAGAGAGAGAGCGAGAGAGCGAGAGCTCTCTTTATGTGAGACCTGGTTTTTATGTGAACCAATACTTTTTCTTTTGCCTTAAGCCTGTTTGAGCTAAGTTCTGAAGTGATTATGACTAATATACTTTCCTTAGTGTCATGAGATCCACAGCAACTTTCATGCTGAATCTTTTGCCTACATTAGTTCTCCTCATTATCCATGGGGGATATGGTCCAAGATCATCAGTGGATGCCTGAAACTGTAGATAGTACCAAACCCTATATATACCATGTTTTTGTCCTGTGCATACATACATATGATAAAGTTTAATTTATAATTTAGGCACAGTAACAGATTAATGACAATAATAAAATAGA